CAGGTTTGAATGTGACGATGATAACAAGAGGTCAGGTTTAAATGTGACGATGATAACAAGAGGTCAGGTTTACATGTGAAGATGATAACAAAAGGTCAGTTTTGACTGTAGAGATGAGAACAGGACGTCAGGTTTAAATGTAAAGATGATAATAGAGGTCAGGTTTAAATGTGAAGATGATAATATAGGTCAGGTTTAAATGTGAAGATGATAACAGGAGGTCAGGTTTAAATGTGAAGATAATAACAAGAGGTCAGGATTATATGCGATTTTCAGTTTGGACTCAGAAGCTGATCATCAGAGTCTGAGGAATAGCTTGATTCTGCTGCCCTTTTGTATTATTGTCTCCCTAATATATTGCAGTGATTGTTGTGCTAACACTGTCAGATGACCATTAGGTTAAAAGCAAGTGAAGTTTCTTCCGTAATCAGTTCTTTTGGATTGATGTAAAAACAATCTAATCTGCAGAATCAAAGTTGGTGTGTAAACTTGGCCGTTCAGCATCAGCTTCAGGAGTTCCTTCAGCAGGTGTAATGCTACATCGTCACGTGTATGAGCTGCATCATCCCGCCCTTAGCCAGGTACGATATCTGTAGAATACCTGTCTGTCCATCTGTCAGTCTACCTGTGTTTACCTGTCCAACGGTCTGTCTAGTACCAATCTACCTGTCAATGTGTCTGTGTTACTTGTATGTAGTTTAGATCCATTTTGTAAATCAGGTGACAAACAGCAGTTTAATTTTTTTATTTCTTATATAAAAAAATAATTGGAGACTTTATATTCCACACAGGATTCAACGTCACTGAAAGACAAACCCTAAAAACATTTTACAAACTGAAGTTTGGATGCATCAGCTGACTGACATCTGAACTGTAAACATGTAAACTAGTGAACAAGTGTTTTCTTTACTTTGTTTCAGGAACATTTCATAATTTCATTTGTGTGTAAAATATTTGGTGATGAATTTAATGTTTTTTCTATTATGTCTCAACATGAATTCTAAAAACTGACATTTAAATGAATTTGTCGATGTTTAAAGTGAAGTAATACGGAACACGTTCTCATTCCAACCCTTCCCATACTGACCCCTGTTATCACTTTCTAACACACTGCAGTCCAGCACATCAAACTATGACGCTCCAGTACGGTCACAGTAAATATGTGGTTAACGTTGTTAATTCAAACACAACTCTGTAAACTAAATCTAACAAAAACAATTTAACACAAGTACAGAAAACACAACACAAACATCACTAACGCAACTTAAAAATAATTCAACAACACTATGGGACAAGGACTCCGGTCTCCTGGTTGAAAGTCCTGTGTTTTGTTTGACCCACTCACCTCTACTCCCACCCTACGTCATCACACTCTAAGCATTTTGTCTGAGTGTCTTATATTGACACGACTATGTTCACATTGTAGTTACTAGAAAGCCTACTGCATGACATACAGAATCTAAAGGGTGTGACAAAGCGTTGGTTTGATTTGACGCCATGGGAATGAGAACGGGCTGTAATACTTTAATACTGACACTAACAAACTTTCATTCATTCTATCTTTAAACTAACAAAACGTACTTAATACTAACATTAAACGTTCACTGATTATACTTACACTGAAGCATTTTAATAGATCTCATTCAAACTTTATCCATTATTTTACATTTATTTACACTAATAACAACCTAACCCAAACTGTGCCCACATTAACCTAACCCCTCTAAACTGTAGCACCGACCCACCAGTTGACTATGATTCTCTGACAAACTTTACTCTCTCGGGTCATAATGATGATGTACATTGACATGAAATCTGAAACTTTATGTGTTCCTGTTGAGTGTTTATGATGAATAAAATATTTAATTTCATCAACTTCAGAAGCACATCATGTAATTTCTGCCAAGGGTTATGAGTTGTGTCAATACTTATGAAGGTAATCAAATAATTACATGGAGTCTGAACCGAGACTTTATTAAAGCAACACTCTTTCCTTTCTCACATAGAGGCAACTCAACAAAATAGCTTCCAGTTTTATTCACATTATTTAGTCACAATTATTCACATTATGACATTTCATTCTAATGAAATAGCCACAAGTACCGTCAGCCAACATCATGTTAACTTGTTAAATTACCATAAGACGAGTAGACTACCCAGCCAAAAAATGTTGAACATAACTGTCTGCAATTTGACAGACATGTATTTAAAGACTGGAGGGATTATTTTAACACTTTTTTAACTTTATTTTTTGTAGCTCAGTAATCCTTCACTTTATTTTACGGACATGCTGTATTAATTCATGTCCTATTCGTGCACAGGGATGGCTAGCAACTTTAAATTAAGTGTGTACAGTGAATTGCATTTCATTTCACATCCCCTCAGATGTGTTTCCCCAGAAGTTAGAACAACTGGAGGGGTCAAAGGTGTTTTCACACCACTGACAGCTGACCAAATGAAACGTTACCTTGAATAGAATCACAGATTTCGCTGGGTTTGAAAATTGTTGGAAACACTTGGGATGATATAAGTTCACAGCTCAACATAGGTCGAGTCCTCTTTAGACATTTAATTACGGAAGTGTTACATATTATACCTCCAAAATATGAGACTGAAACAATAGTGTGAAAACTCTGAAAGATGATGACTTAATATCTGCTTATGATCTGATTAAAATCTTTTTCTAGTCTGTCACATTAGCTTATCTGAATATTAAACCCTCTCATACACATGATCATATTTTAAATGTCAATGAAGTCAGTGTGAATAAATCAGTGTGTACTGACAAGATACTGGTGCGATATATATACTGGGTGAGAAATAAACTTTAGTCTGTCTGTCTGTCTGTCTGTCTTCAAATGTCAGTCTGACCGTCTTTCCAATGTTCTTAAGATTCTACTAAGGACTGAGTCCTCATTCGGAGGACTTTCAAGGATACATGTGTGTATCTTCTGCTCTCCTAAAACACTCACGATCCGATGCACACAATGCATTTCATGTCCCCCAGTTTGGAAACAGCAAACACAAATAAAAGTCCATTTATTTTGTTTCAGCAATCTGTTTACAAACTAATTTAAGGGAAGAAATTATCGATCCAGATGCTGAATCTTCAGATCCACATGATCTGATTTCACCCTTGTACCTCACTTTTTGGCTGTTTATCTTTATCGTGTTATTTAATAACTTTAAAAAAAAGATTATAGGATTTAATTAAATAGTTTTCATTTTCAAGGTAATAGCTGATCAATGACTGATAAAGATAGAAAGTGATCAATGAGTCATAAAGGTAATAGCTGATCAAGGACTGATGAAGGTAGAAAGTGATCAATGAGTCGTAAAGGTAGAAAGTGATCAATGAGTCGTAAAGGTAGAAAGTGATCAATGAGTCATACGGGTAAAAAGTGATCAA